TCACTATAAATCAATTTATCAATTTTAACGAGAAAATGATAACCTTAGAAATAAATGTAGCTATTTAGCTTTCTATTAATAACTAAGGTCAAATAGAAAGCGGGTCGATAATTTGTGTCGAAGTATATATGAAAATACCTAGATACGTAATTCATAATTTTTAAATATTAATATCAGCAGTATGATAATTTTCATTATCTACACATTTTCTCTGACTTTAAAAATAGCACGATAAGAATTTCACGTGTTTGAGCGAATCACACGTGGATCGGCAACATCGTGCGGCATCATTTCGTTTGAATAATGATTTATGTAATATGGGAAGGGATAGCGGAAGTGGCAGATTTTCAAGATTAGACGGAAGCGGACTCGCGATAAACGACAAGCTTCAATATTATATGTAGGTAGTCTCTTATCTCAACGCTCTTAGCGTTGCGGAATTACGGAGAGATACGATCGTAACGGGCCTCATGCAAATTCGATTGTGGATCGCTTTCGCAATTTTGAGGACCATAAGTTCGAGGCCGCGCCGTCGATGAAATGTAGATGATAGGCGTCCTGGCATGTTTTTTAGATTACGCGACTTCGATTAGAAGTGCTCCGTTGTTACATGATACTTATCTCCCAAATGTATGTTTCTAGTATTTGTGCCTCTCTTCGAAGAACCATAAAGACTTGCGATAACGAAATCCAAAGCATATCAAATTGCAACATATATATATATATATATATACACAAAGATTTAATAAATGCATTGTGTATCACAAAACAAATTAAAGTAAAACTATAAAGAAAGCATTTCATATTTGCGTTTGTAAATTAAATTTTGCCAATAATTTTATAAATTAATTTTTATCAGAATACCTGTGTTTAATTGAAGCAAAATATAGCATCTGCGATTAGGGGAAGAAGACAGTTTAAGCGTCTATGAAATATTAATTCTTGTGGATTAATAGCGTATTCGACGTAATCTTTTGTTCTCCACTAATATATATCGCATCCAAAATGATGAATAAGAATGCTAATGTAATAAACGTTTTCCTGATGGTGTGCAGCTTTGGTTGATTCATGGCCAGCTGCAACCGAAGGTGGACGTATATATATACCTACCTATTAAGTGTTATTTTGACCAGTTAACCCGGGAACACACGTACAAGGTTCATAAATGATCTAACGATAAAAACAAAAAAAATTGATTGAATGATAGAACCTTTATCTTATCTCTTACGAAATGAGAAAACGTATTACATTTAAGTGATTTTAATGATAAGAAATCAGAGATTAGGAGACAATAATCTTAGTTGACTAATATTGAAGAATACGTATTTAAATTGAAAATTCTTTAATACAAATTAATCAAATATATAAATTAATAATTTTAGAACAAAATTAAAAGATACTATTCGAATGTGATAATTGAAAGACATTCGTCTTTCAGTTGAGATTGTAAAATGAGAAATATTCGCGCATATATATAATATGCTCATCTATTTTAATTCGATCATGCCTTTACCGGATGTTTCAAGGGTCCTTTAATGATCCCAACTACGGTATCTGCATGAGTATAAGTGCTGTCAACCTAAAGTAACGTAGGCTTGCTTCACTCGACCCTGCATTATATTTTAGCCATGTCCATTTTAATAAAAAAAAAAAAGAATTTAATAACGTGAAAGGAAACTTTTATTTATTACGGTTCATAATAAAATTCCTTTTTGCTCTGGAATTGAGTTTCCATCAATAAAAAGTGCCAGCTTATTATATAGTGCTACTATTAGTTGATTTGTACGGTGACGTGAACTTCATTTCTGAGAGTTGCAATGTTAATATTCAGCAGGAAGTACTCAATTGAACGAAACGGACTCAACGTCGACGTACAGATGTTTCTCATTGAGACTTCTTCCTAATATATAGCTAAATCAGTAAGAGAAAAAAAATATAATTAAAAAAATTTTTACATTCTGCGAACGAAAATGTTTCTGAAAAATGACAAAGTAAAAGAATTGTATTCACGTGTTTAAGGACTTATTATCAAGTTGAAGATGGATTATACGATATGATCAATTTCATATGATACACTATTCAACAAAATTAAAGCATCACCTGTTCCACTCTGCAAAAATAGGTAAACTTCGAGATAGAATAACTTCGTCAAAAATCGTATCGAGATGTTTAAAAAAGCATTTTAAAGCTTGAAACTTGCACTTTTCAGAACAGTTATTTAAGAAACGGTCTTACCGACATTTCATCAAGTTACACAAACAAAAATGAAGATGCATCAAATCTTCAAATTTTATACGACATTTTTGAGATTGCACGGCGCGAATTACAAATTGTGCACAAATGCGGTTTACAGCTTTCGAAAGACTATATAAATCTTGTATCTTTTTTTATATTTGACAATACTATTTTATAAACAGAATTTTGGTACGGCCATGAGTTCACCATCGTTTCTCACCGTTGATAATGTAAAGATTAAAAAGAATTGCCTTCATGTTGTTTAAAGATAACGTACTTTTTTATTATCGTTATGTCAACGACTTATGTGCGTCAGTTTCAGTATCTAAAATAAATTCTTTTCTTAACGTTTTTAATTCTTTCCATCCTTATCTACAATTTACTTTAGAAGTTGGTAAAAATTCGTTAAATTTCCTAAATGTCTCAATCATCATCAAAGAAAATCATTTGACTTTTGATTAGTATCATATAAACCCATCTTCTCAGGCAGATTTTAATATTTTTTTTCTAATCATCCGACTTTCAAGAAAAAGGCTTAATTCTTAGATAGAGCTCTATTGTTATCAGATTCCGTTTTTTATACTAAAAACATAACTTTTATTATAAATATGTTTTTTAATAGAAAATGATTATTTACTTAAATTTATTTTTAACACCATCAACAATAAAATCAAATATCACTCGAAAAAAACCAATATGAACAAATAATTTAGATAATAACGAGGAATCAACGGTTTTTCTATCTTGATTTATTATATTTTTTGTACCGATATTAATCGAAAAATTCAATAGAAACGATAAGGTCTCTTATTTTAGTTCTAATAAACTACGGAAATATATTAAAGTGCATAAAGATCCCTTGGACTCTTTTTCAAAGTCTAATGTTGTTTATGTAAGATAAATTGCAATAATTGTAATGCATCTTACGTGGGACAAACAGGAAAAAAATTTAAAACACGGATTTCAGAACATCAAAATCATATACGATGGAATTAAACTAGTTCTAAATCGGTAATAACAGTAATAACCATGGATTACAACAGGGACATGATTTTGATTAGAAATCAAATGATTTTCATTAGTTTACAAGCCTTACAAGAAACTCGGACACTGCAACGTGATCGAAAATCAGACTTTCCGTCCGTTGTAACGGCCGATCGACATAACGGCATTTTGAAGCAAGATAATTATTAAAGTTTAGTATTGATAATAATTTCCATTTAATACAGAAATTGTCTGGTACAAAGTTGAAAACTGGCTTTACTTTAATTTCACTAGACGTTATATCTCTGTTCACAAATATTCCTATTGAAGTGGTCGTTGATAGTATTACGAAGAAATGGAGTTTTTTTAACAAAATCTGTTAACATTCCGAAAGATGAAATTTTATCCGCTGTACGTTTAATATTAAATTCCACTTATTTTTGCTTTAATGGCGATTTTTACAAATAGAAATTTCGTACATCTATGAGATCTCCACTTACCTCGATTACATTCAAATTCTAGATAAAGGACCGTGTTATAATAAACGTCTTGTCTCAGAGATGCTTAATATTATAGAACAGAGAAACAGTCTTATCCTCCAGACAGACACAGAAGGTCTTCATAAATCGTATACTCTGATTATAAACAAGGTTTGATTTTGCATTACCAAAATCTTTCGCAATACAGTTATATTCGTCGAGATAATTAGACGGTTTTTTTTTTATACTTCGGACGCTTCCGTTGACATCATTGATTGACGATTATTTTAACATTGATATGGATTTTTTCAATTGTTAGACTCAGAAGTGAGTTTTTTTTTACCAGAGAGACGTGTTGTGCTTGTTTTTATATTATAGTTCTGATAACATATAATGTTTTTTTATGTTCTCACTAGAACAATGAGAAATTTTCACAATCGGTCATTCAATCATTTAAGCAATTTTCCATTTCTCTGACCAAACACTCATCTTATTATTTCACAAAACCGTCGACGTCTTAATATTAGTTTACTGCGTTAAAATTCTCGTATACCTACATCTGAAGAGGGCCTAAATATAAAGCCAAAACATGTTATATATTATATTTCGTAGCGTTGAACGTTTCTTATTTTCTGTAGTTTTTTATATTTATATTTAATACACTTATGTTAATTGAATTATGGAGGTTCTTTTATTGTTGCTTGACTCTTATTAGTCTTTTATATAACAATATAACATTATTTTGTATTTTAAATCTTTATCTTTAATTTGCTCTTTTTCTAATCTTTGTACGATTTTTTTTCACCGAGTTATTCAACGTTGAAGTAAAAATGACCTCTTCTGCTTCAACGTTGAATAACTCGGTGAAAAAAAATCGTACAAAGGTTAGAAAAAAAGCAAATTAAAGATAAAGATTTAGTCTTTCGAAAGCTGTAAACCGCATTTGTGCACAATTTTTAATTCGCGCCGTGTAACCTCACAAATTTCGTATAAAATTTTAAGATCTGATGCATCTTTATTTTTGTTTGTATAATTTGATGAAATATCGACAAGACCGTTTCTTAAATAACTGTTCTGAAAAGCGCAGGTTTCAAGCTTTAAAATGCTTTTTTAAACATCTCAAAACGATGATTTTTGACGAAGTTATTCTATCTCGAAGTTTGCCTATTTTTGCAGGGTGGAACAGATGATGCTCTGATTTTGTCGAGGAGTGTATAATAGTCTATTCCAATATGACAAGTTGTTCTCAATAATTGGCTCTTTCTATTGTTCAAGAAAACAATCTTAAATTGCAGGGGCTCTTTGGTGATGTACGACAGCGCTAGCTGTTCGTACGCAGGTGCGCTCGAATTAAAGGGAGCCTCCGGGGCCGGAGCCGCGGCCGCGGCCGCCGCTGGTGTAACCGCGGCCGGCGTTAAGCAGGAGAACTGGCCATACCGCGGCCTCACTTGCGGCAGCACCTTTCAACGACTCAAAGAAAGCGTCGACAAGGCGAAACAGGCCCTCGCCGATCGCAGTGGTTACCTGGCGGGTGCGTTTTCGCCGCCTCCGCGCGCCAACCCGTCCGCCATTTCGCCCACCGCTTCCATCACCGGTAAGCGAAGCTTCCCTTAATCTCTATATAATCTTCCTCCCTTATATTAACACACACAAATAACTTTTTTATAAAAGGAACTGAGATCTTCAGCATTGGTCTGAGTTTGACACTTTCATACTTTGGAAAGTATGAAATTAAGGCCGGTATTTATTTTACATTAAGTATTTAATGTAAATATTAAATATTTAATGTCTTAAAATACTAATTAGTTCTGTGATTAGTTTATATATTAAGACTGTGCTTAAAATAGTCCTAAACATAAAAACCGGTTATACATCTATACATATATGATATATCAGCCCAAATAAATTTTCATAGAGAGTAATTTCAAAAGAATGCTTTTTTCTATAACAATATTGTTTAAAATAATCAAATCTGCATGTTCTCATCGGTTTTCATTGATTTTAAAATATATAGAATATTTTCTCGCATACGGTCCGTTCGAGTCCTCTTTCCGTGTACACATCTTAAAACACGCATCCGTTTATTACTCAGTATTTCCGTTACGTTAAATTATGATTGCGACATTAGTGTCACTATTTTCTTTAGCACTTTGTTAATATCTACAAGACAAAAATCAAAAGTTTCATATTCCCAGCTTGCAAAATGAAAACCGGGAATGCTCAGTTCTTCTTATATAAAAATGTTCAACTAGCAAAAATATTAATACAGGATTGAAATTATTTTCTTCGCCAAACGGAAAGTAGGCAGGTGCGAGATTTGCACAAAAGTGCAACTTATTGCGTGGCGATGCAAAATAGTTGCCGTAACACCGAGCGTAAAGTCACGCACGTACGTGCGGAAAGACACGCAACCTGATTACGCGCAAGTTTATCCCGGCATGCATAAGTGCCACGGAGATACCATCGATCGGTCCTAATATACGTTGCGATGACGTAATGCGGTTAATAATGAGAGTAAAAGCCCTTGCTATTTTCCCACATTGATAAGCAACACTCGACGCTAAGATTTTGTTGAATCGCGAATACATTCTGAGAATCAGCAATTCGCGTATTCGTCTCATGCCGATAAATGTAATCTGATATATTTTCACACGTGGGTAATTATTTTTGGACCTAATTTTTAACTCTCTTTTTGTAAAAAATGTACGAAACTATAGGAAAGAGGTTATTACTAGAGTAACGATAATTGTTTATATTAAACATTTCTATAAACTTTTCTGTTACTTCTCGAATAAGGAAAAAAAATATTACTATTCGCTTATCATAAAACTGCACGAAAAGAACAGTTTTACTAAAATATGTAAAAATTTAGTTAGATAGTAGATCTAAAAATAATTTTGTTGAATCATTAAAATAATTGCGTAAAATATACTTAAACATTGGCAACAATGCTGTAAAAAGTCTTAACATTCTAACAACAATTTAAGGTGCCTATATACACACGGAAAGAATATTTTCTCTTAAAATTTATCCTGAAAATATAATATTTGTGATATAATACAATATTTTAAGGATTTTTACTATCCAATTCAGTAAAATTAATCAAACTTATTTTATATTGTAGTTTTATTAGTTAATGAGAGAGATTTACATAAAATTCCTCAAAATACAGTATTGTCCCACGACTACTATATTTTCAGGGTAAATTTTAAGAAAAAAATTTCTTTCCGTGTAATTATTTTAATGATCTAAAATCTAAACAAAATTAAATAAAATTTTTTAATATTTTAGTAAAGCCATTCTTTCCGTCTGTAATGTTATATATGCATTTGTTATATATCGAAGAAATGCTGCGATAATTTTTGCTTGTGTTACAACAAAGGCCATAGTTCTGTCGATTGAATCTTTGCACAAACAACAAAATCTAATTTGTAATATAAAGTCACCGAGTTAATTAACTCGTCTCTATTTTCCCAAGCAGTATCGAATTTATATAGAAAACGTAAAGTGCAACGTGGGCCTTCGATAACGGTACGGTATCTCTTTCCGAAATCATTAAGAACCGGTAAAGATGAGCGTCACACTGCAATACCCTCTCGTGCCAAGAGAAACGTGAAAAAAAAACCGGGGTAACGGTCTCGCGCGCGATAATTTGTCATCCGGCAGTAGCAGCAGCCGGCGGGCGGCGGGCTGACTGTTGCTCTTCGTTGTCGCCGATTTCCGATTGCTTTTTTAAAGCGCCGGTCGCCGAGGACATTAATTACCCGGCCAGTGTAAATCACGTTATCTACCGCCCACGCCCGCGAGGGCCGTGAAGAGACGGCGGAACGGAAGGGGAGTACGACAGAGGAAGAGGAGGAGGAGGAGGAGGAGGAGAACGAGATGGAGGAGAATGAGGTGGATGAGGAAACGGAGGAGAGAGGATCGGGGAGGTGATGTTCGAATACGGCGGGGATCGTGTTGCACGATGCGATGGTGTTGCATCGCTGCCAGCCGAGCAAAGCGCACGTCGGACTGCTTTCCACGGCCGCAGCAATATCCTGCTCGCCGTTCCCGAAATTTATCGGCGACTCGCCCGAAACTTTCGTCTCGCCCGGTTGCTACGTTTAACGGCGCGACGCGGTCGCCCGCATTTACCTAGGCGATCGATCGATCTCCCGCCTCCTGGATCGCACGCGAATCCCGATCGAGGATGCTGGCTACGCCGCACGGTTTTTGCCGCTCGCGTTCCGTAACACGTTTTTCCTCACCGCTGGTTAATTCATCTCGCGCCGCGACAGCAAGGTCACTGAAATAACCGGCTGAGATAACGTTATATTATTCAATAACGTCACACACAATACGTGGTCCACATAGTCACGAAGCGAAATCCATTAATTTGCAAAATACTCGTGATATTCTTTCAGTCAATAATTTGGTTGCGATCAAAATAGTTATCATATTTAGGATATATAATACCAATTCACACACACAGAAAACGTTGAATTGATGAAACTGTTATATTAACACAGTTTTATTAACACTAATGCCCATTTCCACCAATGCAGATTATTTGCTCTTCATCTTTTTCTAATTTTAAAAATTAGAAAAAGATGAACAGTAAGTTAAACCGAGATTAAAGTTAATCTGCATTGGTGGAAACAGGCATAAGAGTGCGTTCCATTTAGCGCTTACAATGCTTATGAGTATCATTTATCATTGTTTAATACTTGATAAACAAGGATGAAATAATTCCAAGAGTACCGTGAGCAACAAATGGAACACAGCCTAATTAATTTTTTAACTTATGCTATATCTCTCTTTTCTTTAAATTACATTTCAAAATACAATATAAAAGTAAAATTGATTTCATCTTGTTATTTATTAGTGAAATTAATCCTAAATAATTGGATTTTTGTCATATAGTTTTTAATATTTTCTTAAAGCAAACTCTACTCTTATTATTATACATGTATACCTATATAAAACATAGATAAAGTACAAAAACTTTTAATTTAAGATGAGTATAACATATATCTAACGTATATATTACATGTTGTGACTCTAATAGCTTACAAATATATAATGTTATAATACTTCAAAGATAGATAATTCTGTGCATCGTAATTCAATAACATTGAATTTTATTCTTTACAACTCTTCAAATTTTTTCATCATCTTTGCTATCGTGACAATCGTCCATGCCACGGAATTCTATTCAATCGTACATTACCCTGTCATCCTGTACGGTCATTCAGGGAATGTAAGGGAAACCTTTAGTCACGTCTGTGTCTCGAAAGATGGTCTCAAAATTTTGACGGGACTCGTAGGGTTCGAGACAAGATGGTGGGTCGATGATGGCGGCGGGTAGTTGCGAAAATGTAGAATGACGAGGGAGGAGCGGTTACAGGGTTAGCCGGGAGCGTATCCATGACGACCGACCGCCCCACGTACCCTCCGAGATCCCGGATGCTCCCCTCGGCATCCCAGCATCCCTCCCTTTCTACCCTCTTCCCGCATGCTCCCTTCTCACTCACCCACTGCCACCCCGTGGTTCACTCCCTGCGTTTCGCCATCCCGGGCAACCCTCTACATCCACCGGGCTTGCTCTATCTTCCCCTATCTGCGGCCCACTCTGGGGGATGCACGGCTACTTAGATTTTAAGTCGAGCCATTTCGTGCCGTGCACCTATACCCAACTCGGCTATAATTCTCGCTAGATACAGACGTGCCGACAAAGGAGCTGGATTCTCCGTGAAATTTCGGCCCTCGCTCTCGCGCGCGACGGAATTTCGATGCGAACGCGAAGTACAAATTTCGCGCGGCACAAAAGCCTCGTTAGAATTAAAACCGTCGACTTCGTTGAACTCATGGTACATCGAAATGATGTACTCCGACGTTGTATCTTAGCTGCACGGTAATTCTCTAGTAATGGAATGTCGAGGAAACAGGCGAAACTTGATTATTAAATTTAATATGGTAATTAAAGGGACAGTAAAAGGAAAAGTAAATAAGGTACAATTCTTGAGAAACGAAATGCTGAGATGGGCAAAAAGAGAGTAAATGGTTATCAATATTATTATATACAATAATTTTTTAATTGGACGAGTAGATTTGGAAAAGTATTGGCGAATGTTAATTGTTGGTCGTGAACACTTTTCCAAATTTTCATTTGATGTCTATATTAATTATCTCAATAGAAGAGAAGACAAAGAGAAAGACTTGCTAATATTACCACTATTGGCTATTTTTATGATTTATGATATAAAAATTATTTATAATACATTTTATATTAACAAAAAAATTATCTTAAATAATTGAAGTTCAATTTTGTCCTCATGTAGTGTAAAAAATCAGAACAATTTTAGCCGAAAATTTATTTCCGCGTATTATTTCAGAAAACATCTCCATTGAAATTCAATGCCATCTCATAGTAATAATTGAATGTTAAATACAAATATTTTCTGCGTTTATTTTCTTTAACTTGTCACATAATCTGCACTAGCACCAACAGAGTTGAGGGGCAGCGGAAGTGTCGGTCATTGTGTCAGCATGTCTCAGGGTAATGCATGTATTTAATGTTTACCGGTCGAGCACCATCCCTCGGATAGCTTG